TCAAGTACATATTTCTTTGAACACTTAGAGAATTCCAGAGTCAGCTCCACACAATGCACACAGGATTGAGTGGGATCAGAATTTTTACTAGGGACTTGGAGGGGTTTTTTAGGCCTCTAGGCCTCCCTGCAGGACATTATATATTGAAGAAGATAGATTGACACATGATAGCAGCCCAGGTCAGATATTAGAACAACCCAGATTTATGGAATGGCTGAACACGTGAAACAGAATAGCCTAAATTTTCTGCTGGGGTAGTTGTTTACTTTAGAGAAGATAGTTTATAGTTTGAATGACAGAAAAGCACATGGGCACTGGACATTGATTCAGATCTTTAAAAAGAAGAATCTGTGTGTATTCACAAAGATACATGGCAAGCATCACTCCCTCCCCCACCCTGAAATCTACTAAGTGAAAAGCTAACTTACATTTCCCCTCCAAAACCAACTGAACTGAAAACTTATTGATCCATCTCCTCTCAAGTAGGTAACACTATCAAACTCTAGACCAGAAAACTCATATTAAACACCTTCACCCAGTGCTCTGACAATCATGTTTGCATTGCAGTATGTTAATTATTGATTGCTTTGGCATCTTCTCCTGGTTTTTTGTTTTTGTTTTATAAATTTTTTTTTTGGTTGTATATGGAGTCAATGCCTTTATTTGTTTTTATGTGGGGCTAGGATCGAACCCAGTGCCTCTCACTTGCGAGGCAAGTGCTCTACCACTGAGCTACAACTCCAGCCCCATCTTCACCTTGTTGGCTCTCCCATTTTTCAGCTTCGCTTTTGGACTCTGGGCCCCAATCTATACACACTGTGTAATGTGTGGTTTGCTGAGTCAAGAGGACAGCAGAACTATCACAGCCCTTGTTCCAGATACTATACTTACATTGCAATAACCCAAGACCACACTATATCTTTGAGAATCACATCTTACTCCTGATTCATGTTGAATTATTATTAACCAACATTTCTAAGCCATTTTCTGAATGCTTTATTTTATCTCCTCCATTCTATAGCCAAAGTTTGTGCTCTGTTCTCAAGGATTTCAGCATTCTAAAACACATGTAGGATTTGTCCTAACATTTTTACCAAATTGAGATTCATTAGGATATCATGATTGTATGATCTAATATATGAATTCCTCCTCTGACTTTCTTGTCTTCTATTACCTTCCTATTATTAAAACATCCCATCAATAAGGTTAGTTACATGATCCAAAAGTCAAAGAAGTCTTTTCAAACTACTCTATTTAAAAATGACACCCTCCTCTGATATACTACATATACTCTTTACTATACTCTTTTACTGCCCTTGTTCCCCATAGCACATATAATCACCTTAAAATACCATATTTACTTTATTGCCTTTTTCCTCCTTTAGCTTGTAAGCTCTATTAGTGCAACATTTTTTTGTCAGTTCTAGTCCCTGCTGGATTCCACATTTGTTGTATGGATGCAGTTGAATATGTCAGCATCCTCATTCAGGTCAGTTAAAAATGTTGAATGGAACAGGACCAAGGCTAGAAACCAGTGCATCACATCAAAGGTTGATCCCCTCACAGGTTGCTACTGAGCTTTGGGCCACTTACAAATTCACTCTAATGGTCTTAGTATTCAGTGCAACGTGTCTTTACTTTATCTACCAGGCTGTCAAAAGAGTTTGTCACTTTTTTTCCCCAAAATCAGATATTTTATGTTGATGACAGCCCTCTGATCTAGAAGTTCTGTCCCAAAAAAAGGAAGTGGGATTCATCTGACATTATTTATCACTTCCTCTTTCTGACTGCACACAAATCATCCTTTTGATGACTTATTTTAAATACTGCTCCCAAAAAGAATGGAGCATTAATCAGTGACCTGTTCAAACCCTTTGATTGCCTGTAGAAGGGTCCTCACAGGTGTGAGATTCCCTTGGCTGGGACTTAGGACTTGTTCTTAGGATGGGCATTAGACTACCAGAGGTGGCACCAAAGAGTTGGAAGGCTTAGGTGCAGGGGCTATTATTTCATCAAGCATTGGAATGTCACATTATTGATTGCTATTTATGTATACCCTTTTGGTTTCATGTTTGGTTGCTACATTTAGACAATAGCAATCTGAGATTTGGGGTATGTTTAGCTTCTTTCATTCCTATTTGATCTTGTTCCTTTTCCCCATTCTTTCTGACACAATTGTGGTTTAGGCCACATCTCATAATTTATTCTCATCACTGAATTACTGTAGTATCTTTCTAATTGGCTCTATACCTCCCATCTCTTGTTTTTCTTAGATTCTTCAATCAGGCTACTTATAATGTGATCTTGGGACCACAGCATCAGCATCTCTTGGGATCTTGTTGGAAGTGCAGACTCTCAGGTCCTGTTCAAAATCTACTGAATCAGAATCTGCAGGTCAGCAGGACCTGCTGGTGATTCACACCCATATTGAAGTTTGAGAAGCACTATCCTTTCTTCTGCCATGCCGTTCCCCTGTGAAAGGGCATCCTTAAACTTCATGTGAACCTCAACCTCAGTCAGAAAATGATCCATCTTAATTTTTAGATGTCATGTTTTTAACATGAAAGTGTAATTGCCCACCTATACTCATTGGTTATGAAAATGGTTTGCAAGTTTGTGAATAATTTTAGAGCAGCTACTAAAAATTATTGAGATTCAACTAGAGACTTCCTTATTGAAAAGCAAAGTATTTGGGGTTTTGGTGAGCTTGGAAATGCTCCTGTTGTTTATTATGCATTTACTAGTGTTTGACAAGTATTTTATATACTTAATTTAATCTTCATGATAATCTCATTTAATGCTTTTATCCCCATTTGACAAATGTGGAAACTGAGATTCAAAAAGTTTAAGTTGTCCAGCATCACAGTATTGGTTAGAGTTCAGTCTATACTATATCACAAAGACAGCTGATATACAATGATTGAAACAAGTAGCTCTGTCCTGAGGGGACAAGTGACCCAGCTAGAAGGTATTGATGCTATCTGAAGTCACCAAGCTTTCTCCTCCCATGTTGCTTCATAATGACCAGGAAGTTGTCCTGTCTATGTGGTTGGAACTGGTTCCTGCCCTTGGGAAGGGGAAAAGAGAAAATGAAGGGCATGCAATTTTCTTATGAAAACAGAATCTGGAAGTTCTACCTGGCATTTGTACTCATAGTCTGTTAATCACATGGCCACACACCTTGTTGCAAAAGAGGCAGAGAAATGTGGGAACTTGGGCAGTTATTTACTAAAAAGAAGAAGGGGAGTGGCTAATAGGGAATATGTGCAGGCTCTGCTGAGGATTAGCCAACTAGTAGAAGAGCTAGATTCAAACCCCATGACTAAAACCTGTGATCTCCTTACCCCGTTATTCTACCACTTCTCATAATTGACAGACAATAAATGTTTGTTGAATTGAAATATGTGTAAGCCTTTTGGTTGTTTGCAATTATTTCTTCCTTCTTCCTTGCTTTCCTGATTACCTAAGTGGTTCCGTGACCCAATGTAACTTTTTTTTTTTTTCCTCAGCACTAGGCATTGACCAAGGGCCTATGCACATATACAGACATGCAACATTGCACCTGGCTTATCACTATTTTTTAACATATATTTTTTATAACTATTTTATTTATTTATTTTTTGTGTGGTTCTGAGATCAAACCCAGTGCCTCAACTATGCTAGGCAAGCACTGAGCTATAGCCCCAGTCCCTTGTCACTATTTTTGATGATATTATTTTGATTTGAAAAACAGGAAACTGATATTCATATTTCTTCAATAAAATATCATAAAAATCTACCAATCCTTAGAGTTTCTGTAGAGCTTCATGAAGTGTGACAATGAGTTAATGATACTGATTTTTTTGGGGGGTGGGGTGGGTACCAGGGATTGAACTCAGGGGCTTTCAAACACTGAGCCACATCCCCAGCCCTATTTGTATTTTATTTAGAGACGGGGTCACACTGAGTTGCTTAGGGGCTCACTAAATTGCTGAGGCTGGCTTTGAATTCGTGGTCCTCCCTGTCTCAGCCTCTCGAGCCACTGGGATTACAGGTGTGTGCTACCATGTCCAACAAAGATACTGATTTTTTAAATAACCGAATGATCATCTCCTTTTAAATAGGTATTTGTTGTAGAAGAATGCCATTGCCAAAAGTGCTTTTGGTATTTTGTTCTGGCTGCTGTTATCAGTCACCTCTTGCTACAATAATGCTTCATGACACCACCACCAGAAGTTGAGAGGTATATAGCAATATTTAACTTATATGTGTATAGGCCCCCCGAGTTCAGCTGTTTAGATGGTCCTGGCTGGCCAGCTCTTTTCAGGCGTCTCTTACCCTTCTGAGATAGCAGCCTAGCTTGGACATTTTTTTTTTTTCCTGGCATTGGCAGAAGCATAAGAGAACAAATAGAAATACTTGAGACTTCTTGAGGCAAATCTGGGAACTGGCACAAAACAACTAGCCAAAACAAGTCATGTGGACAACCCCACAGTCAAGGGCATGGAAAATGCGCTACACCTTAAGAGAAAATATAGTCACAAGATAAAGGGTGTAAATACAGACAAGGTGAGGGATTGGGTCCAAGAAAGCAATTTACCATTGCTTTGTCTTTGGCAAGTTAATTTGAATAGTTGCAGTAATGGTAAATATTTTAAGGATCACTTTGAATTTTTTTAACTAACTGTTTATTCATAAAATTAAAGAATGGAGCTAGGTTTATCTTTGAGCAGAAAAGTAGCTGTGACATAAAAAATAATGTGTCTTATTTCTGGAAGAATTGGTTCAAGAATATGGCACTTGGTGGCAGAATATTTGGATAAACACCATATCCTTCTAAAGTGATCATTTTGAAAGGATATCATTATTTGAACATTTGGTTCTAAAAGATTTTTTGAAAATAATAAACCTTATGACTTATAGTCAAGTGATACCACTCTATGTCAAAGTTAGAAGAGTAGTAAATAGAGACTCATACCTGATTCTTTGTCTGACTCTGGAAAAATGTGATTTATTTGCAGATTCTCATTGCCAAATCCCCTCTGGCTCCCTTCACCTCATTTATTTACACCATCAAGGAGGAAGGCCTGGTTCTTCAAGGTAAGATCCTTAGGTTAAGCCATTTCTTCAAGCTGACTATGCTCAATGCTGCTCACTATTAGAGGTAATATTGCTGTGGTCCAAAAGAATCTATTTTAGGACAGAATCAAAGGCCAACGTGAATTGGCCAGTGATATTTCCCTGACAAGATCAAGAGATTGGCAGTTGTGGCAAGAATTTGACAAAAGGTTGAGGTGTGGATGAGGGAGGACTATATTGTTAATAACAGATTGGGAGAACCAAAAAGTGAAAGCAAGAAATCTAGGAATTGCCACCATCAGTCTTCTACAGAGATCCTATGGTGTGAACTGGATGGTGTGGAGGAGCCCTCTCACTTCACAGGCTGTGGCAGCATCTGGACTGGCAGCCTGTGTCCCAACTCCATGAGCTCCATTTCCTGCCTCCTTATGGTTACTATGTTTCCCTTTCTGGTGTTTGAGTCCCAGCAGGCCCTTCTGCTAGAGACCAGGCCTTGCCTACCTACACCTTATAAGATAGGCTTGGGACGTGGAAGAACTCAAATTCTTGCTCAAAGTGGAACACTCCCAGGCCACAAGCTGTAATTCAGATGCCAGAACTGTTCTGCAGATGCCAGATACTCTGGAGGTTAGGAAAGGCACCCAATGGCAAATCTTTCCAGAGAATAGAATAATTAACATAAAGGCATAAATTCAAACACCATTAAACTTAGAAAAATCAGTCTCTTAGAAGGGTCAGATGTCTAAAACTCCTTTTAGAATAAAGAAATGCCCACAATATTCCTCTGTCCCCCACTATTAAGCAGCAGGTCCACCCACAGAGATACATAGGTGAACCTCAGGCCTGAGAAGCTTATTGCCAAGGCTATTCATGGAAGGAATGTCTGCCTGGTAAGATTTTGTAAGTTGAGGTTTTTCCACAATTTTGGAAAGAGGGTAGTCCCAGTAATATTCCCATGGAGACACATTGCTTTACAAATATCTAGCAGGAATTCTGTGGGGCAGGCTGGGGAGTTCACCCTTCTGACTGAGGAATAGACTGCAGCCCTCCCTTTCCTTCCCCTTTTAAAATGTCTGCTTCTTAATGGACTCAAAAGCTGCATGTTTGTTTGATGCAATTGAGCTTCACAGCAGGGACCCTCAGGTTCACAAAAATTTGGGATAAGAACTACTGACCTTTAGCTCTTAGCCTTTGACTTATGCTATCCAAGTTCCTTGGTAAATATTTTTTTTTACAATTGCAAATATTGTTTTCTGACAAAGAAGCAGAGATTTTAAGACCAGATTAAGCAAAGCAAACAGCAGGCCCCTTTGTTACATACTCTCTAAGGGTGTATAACTAATAAGCAATCAGAAAGCTCGGTTTTTATTTACCCAGTGCACAGTGTGGCTTTGAGCTCTTCATTTTTAGAGGCTGTTTTAAAAGATAAGAAGTCTAGTAAATAGCAAATATAGAGGGACATTTCAAGAAATCCTATGGAAGATTATAAGACAAATCCAGGATGAAAAGAATCAGTTCTGCCCTAAGGACTTGTAGTAAAATCTTGCTGTGATGTTTATACCTTGATAAATGACATTCCTAAGTTTGGTGTAATGTGGATAACATCAGGGACATTTGTGGAACTAAGATCTACTGGATTGCTTCCCTGATCCTCATTGTTAAGACCGTGATTTTGACAGGGAAAAGAAAACTGGTTAGAGAAAAGAGAAACTAGAGATATAATGAACTGGTAAAGGTCAAAGAACCACAAGGAATGACTGTTAGAAAAAACTGGAAAATGGGAGAAAATGGATTACTAAAGGAAACTGACCTAGATCAGTGTGTCCAGGAAAGAAGAAATTCAGAGAGATGGCTTATAATGTAAGATCCCCAACCAATATATAAAATGCCTGGGCGGCCTCAGAACTTCCACCTGGCTGCTTGCTAAGGGTTTTCTCCAGTCCAACTCTCAGCTGTGCTTCCCTCCCAGAGATCTTGGAGGCGGTAGAGCCCTTCTGCTTCTGTCGGCAGTGCCACTGAATACACTTCCTGCACTCCCTGCCCTCTTGGCTCTGTGCTCCAAAGACTTTTAGGGGGAAAAGGGTGCTCTCAGAAAAATGAGGGTCCCTCTTTGATTGTAAAGAACTCTTGGGGTTCATTTCAGCTCTGATATGATCTTGAGAAAATCTCTGAGCCCTAATTTTGTCCTCTTGAAAATGAAAATGTTGATTCAAGGCTTTGCAAACTTTGCTGTAACCAATTAGTGGGTCATGATATGAAATTGATGAATCAAGATCAGCATTTAGGAAAAAAGAAGGGAGAATAGAAAATATCAGATTATATCACATATATTGTATTGTTTAATGAAATATCTATTACGTGTGTGCTTGTGTGTGCACTTGTGCATGTCATGAATTCATATGTAGGAATTGCAGGGTGACACTTTTTTTTTCTTTTCCTTTTTTTTTTTTTTTTTAACTTTGAATGCAGTAACCAGCCCTGGTAATCTCTAAAGGCCTTCTTGTAAGGTCCTTGCTTAGCATCTGAATGGCCATCTTAAGTGGCAGCCATTTTAAGAAAAATTTCACTTTCCGCCCAAGGGCATTTCTGAGAAAGGCTCACCACTCCCTCCTACCAACCCCACCCTTAACCGCCCCCATTAGGACCCATGGGGCTCTAATCTCTGAGCCTGCCCCATAAAAGTCCCAAACCCCAAGCCTGTTTTGCCTCTCTCCATCAATGGAGAGATGTGCCTTTATTTGTCAGCTCTGACAAATAAAACTCTCATGTGTATCTTTGCCTGGTCTCCGTCTTTCATTTCTCACTCTCCTGTCGTTCCCCCCCCCCCTTCCTTGCTTTCTTTTCACTTCAGCTTTATCTGATCCTCCTGGGGGGTGATATACTTATCATTCATTTAGCCTGATACCTTTAGTTGTTCTCTTGAGATCTTCATACACTGGAACATAAAGGCTTATTTTCCCCTTTCTTACCAGATGACTGAGCTAAAAAAGACACCTGCACAATTCCCCAGGCTTAAAGCAAAGAAACCCTTTTCTCCCTGGGTGGTAAACTTGGAAAGGTACCCACAAGTCAAGGCTGAAAGCTTTCCTGGTGTGCAAGGTTGCTCTGGCGTGGTAGCACCTGGAGCTCTGAGTGGGGTCTGCAGTCCATTTCAGAGGGGCACAGAGATAGAGGGGAAGGGCTGGGAGGGTGAGACAGGTCTGTGCCTTGACACCAGGCTCCATAATAGAGTGAGCAGGAGCAGTGAGAAGAAAAATCCATGCAGGCTACCCTGGGGGTGGGGGCTGCTAGTGAACTTGGGAATGGTCCCTCAGTGCCTTTTATCTCTTAGCAAGGCCAAGATTCCTTCCAGCCCCTGCCCAGGAGGTTAGCTAATACCTGAAGCTCTGCACAAGCAGTGGAAGGAGTAAAAAGTGAGAGCAGAATAGGATCAAGCAACTCTGCAGGCCATTCCCCTCCCGTTCCCAAGGATTAGGATGTGAGAACAGGCAGCAACTGGGGGCCTGACACCCTTCCCACCCCTTTGTTCACTGGGGTGGGAGGGACAATGAAGCGGCAGGCCAGAGAGACCCAGGGGCTGGTTAGAGATTTCTTAGGCGCTTTTTGAAACACTTGAAGGAGCCGGTCTGTGCTATTGTTGAAGTAAAATAGAAAGCAGAACTATTCTCCTTTGGCAAAAAAAAGAAAAAGTAAGAGAAAGAAAACCCACCCTCCCTGCATCTTCAGGAGGCCTCAGACTCAGGCCATTAACATGGTAATACTATCCCGTTTGCATCTTCTTTGTCTGCCCACGGTTCTTCTGGTGTCCTGGCCTCTCCTGGCCTGGCCCTGGACCCTGGAAATATTTGGGCTCCAAAGGAGAGGGAGCTGACTGCAGCCAGCAGCTTCTTGATGGTTCAGCTCTGAGAGAGGCCAGGTTGGGGCAAAGGAAGAGTTCAGCCCTTTGTGCAACTGGAGTGGGAAAGGTGGGGGTGGAGGAGGAGCCCTGAATCCAGTTTTCCTTTTGTCCCCTATGGAAGGTCCAGTGCCCATCAAGTGGAAAAGTTTAGAGGAGCTGGCCTAGGCTGGAATGAGACTGAAGGATGCTGGGATCTGGTGGCAAGAGAAAAGCAGAGGTTGACTTTGGGCACCAGCTTTAATGGGGTGGGCCTCAAAGCACTTGGGTGCAGAAGGGAAGAAGAATTCTCAGTGAACTCCACCACTACCCACATCAGCTCTGGTAAGAGTAAGCACCAAATGTACCACTCAGAGCACAGCAGAGACTAATTGAAAGCAGCCAGGCTATGTTGCTGATGCTGCAGGGTGCATATAAGAAGCCAGGGTCAGACCCTTCTGGAACCATCCCCCAGTTTTGGGAGGCCCATGGATGAGGTGAAGCAGCTTCTGAAGCAGGGCTGGCCCTAAGAATGGAGAGGCTGGACTGGCAGGGTACATTGTTCACTCCTTTACCTATTCTCTCTTCCTTGGGAATTTAGGGAGTGGTTGGAAATACAGAAAGCCAAAGTTGTTTTGAGCAGGACTGAAGGTAGCAACTATTTCTCAGTGAGATAGAAACATGTTTTTAAACAGTTTTTACAAAATCAGGATCAGATACAACTGGTTGAATTTGGATTCCGACACTGTCCTATACTAGTTTGGGTTTGAATGAATAGTATAAATTTTAGGATAACTGGAGAACTTCAGAGGAGACCAGGGCACCCTGACACAGGTCCAGAGAAGGTACTGGACACCAAGCTAGCTTCAGTCACTTAGTCACTTTTTCAGAAGAAACCAAGAAAGAAAGAAAAAATAAAGAAACAATGGTCTTTTTTATGGAAAGCTAAGTGCTTCATCTTTCTGCTTTTACAATCAAGAAGGGTTTGTTTGATCACCTTTTGAAGCATATCAGGAAAGGCATTAATCTCCTCTATTTGTTCCCTTGTCACAAAGTTGGGTTAAATTCTTCCACTCCTTTTTCATAGTTACCGAGCCAACTGGATGATTTATTGAAAAATTCTTTTCCCCCCAATACTACCACTTGAGCTTATCAGACTTCAATTTGAATCAGTAGCTCATCTAAATATTGTCTGCCTGGTAGACTCAAAATGACCCAGAAGATTCTTAGTCTGGCTAGTACCACTCACACACCTGGCACAGCCTGGAGCTTGGGCAGAGAGCCCTGAGATTCAGTGGCTCAGAGAGCACAAACTCCTCCTGGAAATCATGAAGAGGAAGGCAGAGCCAGCCTGTCACATTGTCCTTGTCCTGACAGGTGCCATTGCAGCCTCAGAAAGTTTATTCAGGCCTCTTTGTTATGGGACTTCCTAGGGGAAAGAGGAAGGACCACCATGTACCCAGGGTCTTCTCCTCTCTGCATTTATTTCACATCTCCTTCTTCCAGGACCTCCCACACTGGCCTTCTGCCTTATTCACATCTTTTCTTCTGGCTGTCAGCCTCAGAGAGAGACTGTTATCAATGTAGATTTGGGGGTGAGTAGGTGCTGGGGTTCAAACTCAGGGCCTAGCTCATTCTATGTAAGCCCTCTACTACTAAACTACACCCCAGCCTGAAAAATATTTTTAATACAGAATAGTATAGAAAATCAAAAACCATGAATTTTATATGAATATAACACCCAGAATTAACAACTGTTAAAATTTTTATCCTAGTAGTTTCAGATTTTTTTTTTCAATTCTAGGACAAAAATTTGACAGAATTCAAAACTCCTTTGTACCTATCACTACTCCAGGCCCTCCCCACCCGACTCTCCTCCAAAGAAGAAAAGTTCTCCACCATTTGGCATATATCCTTCTCTTTCATTCTTAAAACTTTTCTACCTACCTGTGAATCTATGTATAATATAATGATTTGTTTTTTAATGCATTTTAAAATTTCTATAAATGATTTATCATATACATTATTTTATAACTTTGTTTTGTCATTTAACATAATGTTTTTATGTATGTCCACATTCATGCACATAGATTCCTTTGATTTATTTCAGGTATCCACACCATTATCTACTCCCTTATTTATAGATATTTTGATTATTTAGAACAAGGCTTGAGGGTTTCTCTAGGTATACATAAGGCATCTTTTATATATATTCCCAAATTTTTCTCAAAATAAGTTAACCAATTTAGACTCTGTGGAGGTAGTGGACCAATCTCTGTGCAGCCATGTATAATTATTGATGTGTTGTCATATTTCCATGGCTGATCTTCTTATGTGTTCTTTACGGATGCCTCTTTTGTCTCTTGCCTTAGGAATGTAAGCTTGCCATATGCTCCAGAGAGATTTTCTGCACAGTGTGTGTGTGTGTGCTTTATACCTGTACTTAGATGATCACTGATAAAAATTTACTCATTCTCCGAAAGCTAACTGTATCTACACTTCCTCAAACAAGGGCTTTTAGTTCACCCATCACCTTGATTTTCTTGAGGAAACAGTTCCAAGAAGGTAAAGCTAAGTTCACTGCCTCAAAGTTGGGTTTTTTAACTCCTTTTCAAGTATTCAGCCTGGGCCTAAGATTTTAGAAAATCAAAAGGATTTTGGGTTGTTCCTCTTCCATCATGGCAACCCCTTAGCTGCTTATCTCTCGGGCCTCATAGGCCTCTGTTGACGTAGTTTAGCCCCATCTTAAATGTTGAGTCTTGAAAATCTAAGCTAAAATGTATCAGTCACACTGATATAATGATCCTCCAAGAAATTCCCTGAGGGCAGTTGGGTTATAAGTTTGGCTGGGTATAGCCACTACCTAAACTAACAGTAGTGTAAAAGAGAGGCTTACTCCCTTCTCATAGAGCACCGCAGAGGAATGTGGTCCTGAGCTGGTATGGCAGCTTGGCTCCCCAGGTTCGTCCAGGGACACAATCTGTTGGCTTGTAGCTCCATCACACCTAGGATATTACTGTTGTTGTCATGACCCAATATGACTCAGCATCATTGCTCCATTCAGGTAGCAGGATTTGTGTGGGACAGAGATGGTGGTGGGAGGGAAAGCATCCCCCTTTCTTTGAGGAAGCTAACCAGAAGTTACACACTTTATTTCTACTTATATCATATTGGCCATCTGTGAGTATATGGCAAGAAATGATGAAAATGTAGTTATTAATCTGAATGGCCATGTACCCACAAAAATTGTGCATTGTGGGAGCTCTGTTAGCACAAGAGAAAGAGGAAGATGAATATTTAGTGACACAAACCTTTCAGAGATTAATTCCCACGTTGCAATAGTGCAGATCCTTGGCCAGGCTTGCTGCATAATAGAGTTATACTCTTGAAATGCCACATAAATAGTGTGCATAGGGGCTGGGATTGTAGCTCAGTGGTAGAACGCTTGCCTAGCATGTGTTGGTATTGTAATTGGTAGTTTCCTTTGTAGGTACTGGATTTAATTGTTAGCACCACATATAAATAAATAAATAATAATAAAGATCCATCAAAAACTAAAAAAAATTAAAAATATATATATATAGTGTGTTAAAAATGCTATTGGGGCCCTGTTTGTTTCCAGAGCCTAGAGAAAAGAGGAGTAGCATTATCATTCTGTTCTTCTACCAAGGACCAGTGCCCCAGAATCTTGGCAACCCACCCTATCCTACCTAAACAGAATCTCCCTCAGGCAGTAATTTTAGTATGTGTTTGCTGTTATGCAGCATTTGAGAAAGAAACTTGAATGGGAGCTACTAGTGCTTATAGCACAGAATAGGGTAGGAGATCCAAAGTTATAGAGTAAACATTTTTTTTTTTTTCCAAAATGTTTTTTCCTGCCTCTACTTTTTTTTTTTTAACATGAAACAAAATGCAGTTGAAATAAAGTTATAGAGAAAAATTTCATTCCAAGACTTGGACCATAGTTTACCCTGGGTCCACACTCCACTTTTAGAACCTAGAAGCCATAGGCAGAACTAACAATTTGCAATTGTGAAAATGCCCAGGTAATAATACCAAAAGATGTTAAATCAATTCAGTTTTTTTATTTTCTCTGAAAATCTCTTCCAAAAGGACTTGTATTCTTTATGGAATATCATTTAAGCTTCATTCAGTTCAGCAAGTATTTGTTGAGCTTCTATTGTTTGCAGAACATGCTGCTCAGGACTCAGGGGATACAAGATTGAGAGAGGGAAAAAAAAAGTTCCCTTCCCTTATGTAGCTCACAGTCTAGTTCGGGAAGATGTAATTATGTAGATCTAATCATCAGCAAACTGTGACAGCTATTTCAAGTTTCAAGGATATGGAAGGATGGAAGGAAATAGGGTTGTCCCAACTAGGATGGCTGAGGAAAGCTCCTAAGAGTATGTGAGGCTTGAACGGGGACTTCAGCTTCTGAATACCAACAAAACCACATTCAATTGTCTCTTGACAGAGGCCAATTTCTTTTGCTATTTGAGGATAGCTTTGGGGACACTGGGGAATGCTGATTAGTTCCATCACTAGTGCTGATTAGTGACGAATGTTGAATCATGCTGACTAATGTGTTCTAAATGGATTGACTCAACAATAAAGGGAACATTAAGAGTCAAGAGTTCAGGTCCTACATCTCACTGTGTGAAGTATAAATCACTTAGCTTCTTAGTGCTTTTTTTTTTTTTTGTCAGTTAAAATGTGCTCATCCTGAGAATCCAGTAAGTCACCTTGCCTTTAAAAACCTCAAAGATAACAGAAATGTTTAACAACAACTAGCAGGACAGGCTTATGCAACCTTAGGTTATTAATACACATACAGAATCAGAACAGACATCACATGCTGCTTGCTAACCATGCGAAACTTCCATTTCCTCACACAGGCCATGAGAACTGACAAACAGGAGCCACAGTCACAAAAACCGTCAAATAGAGAAGCTTTTGAAAAATCTTCCTTTCTACCTACTGGGGTGTCTGTGTCTTTCTGGACAACAAATGTCGCTACAGAACTAAGAGCTTACGTTGCACACACAGCTCTTTCTCTTTTGACATCTCCCCAGCTAGACTGCTTGAGAATCTGGCCTTCCCCGTCCAGATGTTTACTGAATTCTGAAGGCCCCCCAAAGGGCCCAAGTTCTTTTGTTGCTCTCCAAATCATTTCCCACAGAGACTGACCCATGTCCTGAAGGAGCCCTTCAATAGGGAGGATAAATGAAGGCAGATGAAGACATGACCCCCTGAGGCTTGCCCACATCCACTCTAACAAAGGGTCTGAGGCACGACCTTGTAAGGAGTGTTTTGGTCCCTATAAGAGGCCAAGTCTCCCCCACAGGGCTGTTTTCAATGGCTACCATCATAGTGGAAGCACTAGGCATTTGTTAAGGGCTGTGGTGTGCTAGGTGTAGCACAAAACATCTAAATCATGGTCCCCAGCCTTTGTGAGGGCTTCCTGGCTACAGATGGCAGCTGGCTTTCTCAGGGGAAACTTGGGGGTAGTAGAGAAAGCTGAAGAGGGGCCCGACATCTTTGGATGACCTTTTCCCACCCAGTGCAGATAGAGTCCCCCTTTTGTAGGTCAAGCTAGAGCCACGGGACCTTAATCCCACCAGTACTGTTTCTGGGTATCTGGTGTGCCAGGTGTGGTTCCGTGGGGAAGGAGAAGGGGACGGCTGCTATAAGGAAAGTTTTATTTCCATGAAGGGTGGGAAGTTAGAGCATTTCATGACAACATCGTTTTTTTTCAAGCTCTCTCTATTTCTTTTTTCTTTCAGGCTAACAGGCCATAGGGATACTGTGACCTTTGTCTAGAGCTGATGGGGGTGTGATTTGTGAAATGAAACAGGACCATGCTGCTTGGAAGAAGGAAACGGAAGCCAACATAATGGGGATTAATTAGTTGATTGCTGTTGAGATGGTAACAGATTTGCTCCTAGACCATTGAACCAGCGATTTCAGACCTAGCAGGGAAGGTGAAGATGAAGAAGCCTTTGTTCAGGTCTCTAGATGTGTAGGGCTGAGGGCTTTGCCACCATGGGATGTCAACAGACATAATAATAATAATTTGCACTTATATAGCACCTTTCAACCAGGCACCTCAAAGCGGTTTAGCCACATTAATTAATTAAAGCCCACAATTCCCCTGGGGAGAGAAGGAGGATGACTAACAAGATTTGTAATTACAGGAGGGAACATTTCCGAATAAAGTATTGTCCACCAAATAAAAAGAGTAGGTGTAAAGGAATCGAGGTCTCCAAAGAGTAACTGATTCAGAAATGAAATCATGGAATGATGGGGGAGGCTGGGGGTGGGCATGGGCATGGGGGTCTGTTCTTATGTTAGAGGGAGGTCAATGGCCTCAGAATTCATTGACAGGTTCAGATCCAACCGAGAAGCAGAACATGTGTGGTATTAGTGGCATTTGGAAGGTCATTAGTGGCATGACTATTGTAGTGTAAATTCAAGTTTCACTGGTATATTGTGTATAGCCTTGCAGAACAAAGAGTGAGATTCATGCAGTATTTAATAAAGGATGAAATGATTTCTTTAGATTTAAAGCCCAAAGCTGGGCCACTCAATTAGCAAATAAATAAGTTGGTGACCCATGGGATAATTTAGGCATTTCCAGGAGAATAACGGGCCTACCCATTCCTATTGCCCTGAGGCTTCTGACCAAAACATCAGGCTGGGATCAGTATAAAGGTCTGGGAGCTTCAGCCCCTTCAAAGTCAGGCATTAAGTACTCCCAGCCTTTTTCAAGCTCTTACCCAAGACGTTAGTGACCCAACCTGTCCTCTGTACAACCATTTTTACCTGCTCCCCTTGAGAAATTTAAGTGCCTTAGGGGCTAAAATCAAGTCATACCCTATTTCCTGTCTCCTGTCAACACCCAACAGAGCTGTGTACCAAGTCGACAGTGAGTGATGAAGAATGGATCAAAGACCAAGTCTCGTAACAACTTCATATTTGTTAAACACAGACCAAGTGCTCAGGCAGAGCTTGAAAGCAATAGGATATATGCTTTGTCCTCAAGAACTGTATTACAAAAAGACCCCAAAACAATAACTATAACATAAAGCAGAATAAAATAAAGTGATATGATAGATGCACGTCCAAGCTCCATTGCAAGGGCCAAAGAAGGAGCATCTCACCTGCCTGGAGTGAACCAGGGAAGGTATTCCTGGGCAACAAGCAGGCGTGCTGGGCATCAGAAGGAGATTTGGGTAAGCCTGCAAGAAATGAGGAAGGAAATGTTCCAGGCCAAGGCCATGCATCTCCCTCTGTGCAAAGTACATTTGGAGAACTTGTGATCTTCCGTAGAATGTTTGTGAAAACCAAGCTGAGTTTTGCAACTGATTAAATGCACATTTTCCATGAATTCTTATAAGCTGACCTGGCCAATTTCAAATATAAAGAAGTATTTGAGAAGTTGGTGGTAGGGTTCAGGGCACGCTACCCCTAAAACATGAGAAAACAGCAGAACAGGACAGTGACTGTCTCCTTCCCCCTCCCTTCTCCTCACTCCCCTGAAGCAGGTCATAAAACCTAGCTGTCTCCCCAGAAGCAGGTCATAAAACCTTCGTTCCAGATGTGCCCTCCCTATACCCTGAGGAAAGGAATGTCCTTATCTCTGAAGACACAGGGAGGCAGAGAAGAATATGAACAAATGGGCCTCACTAAGTACTACCCCCTGCCCCCGGTTTATTACCATTAGATCATATACCTTTCCCCTCTAGTTATACTTATGCAGGCCTGTTCACTCTTCATCAAAGCATAAAAATGCACAGGCTTCCCTATTTCTTGAGGTTTTCATTTCTGAAGGGTCCCATGTCATTAAAAATGTACAGTAAATAAGTTTGTCAGCTTTTCTCTTTGATCTCTTGTTGTAGGGGCCTCAGCCATGATCCTTGCAAAGGACAAAGACAAAATAACACTTTTTCTTCCCTACATTTCTTGGTGCCCCATGTGGGTGGCTGAGCCACCCCTCTTGCTCTGCAACCTACAGATGAGATCCTGGGACAATTGACAAAAAGTTGGTGAAATAAGAATTCTCACTAAGAAGAGCTCTCTAGGATCTCTGTAGTTCTAGGTAGAGAGAAGAAGGTAAAAAGTTCTTCTTGTCTGCTCCTTTCCAAGTTCAGATTAGCAGAGAAAAGTACTTCTTGGACTGGGACTCTGGCTCAATTTGGTTTTAGGGTACCTATTCATTATTGATTCTTTTCCTTCTGTGAACAGCCATCTTTTTCCTAGTCTTGTTTTGTGTGCTGAGAACTTGCCTTAAACTTCTACCAATCAGGGCACACAGCTTATCAGTCTTGCTTAACTTCAGGCTTGGGGGGGGGGGCGGTCCCAAGAATATGACCAGAGAGAAATTAGATTATACCCCATTTGTGGTTAATGTGCTTGGTGCTTTCAGTTCTTGAGGAGCATATGTGTCTGTCTTATGGCCATCCTTGGGAGTGGATCTGGATCTTGGAAGGACTGCATCTTTTTGTCTTTCTTTTGAGGACATCTGTTTCATCCAAGTTGTTTAAGTTATAAACAACTTACTTCCTTGAGTTCTGAGTCACTGAATAGAACCTTTAGTTTTGAACCTTTAGTTCAAAAGAAGAAAAAGGTTAATAAATTTACATGCTTTTCTCTTGTAAGCCTGTGTCTTGTTATAGGGGCACCGTGTTAGCTTTTTGTCACTGTGACCAAAAGACCTAACAAGAACAACTTAAGAAGAAAAGTTTAATTTGGCTCACAGCTTCAGAGGTTCAGTCCCTGGTCAGCCATCTCTGTAGATCTGGGCCTTGAGGTAAGGCCTTGAGGTGAGCATCATAGCAGAATGGTGTAGAGGAGCAAAGCAGCAAGAGGACATGGCAACGAGGGAGCAGAGAAAGAGAGCTTTGCTCACCAGGGACAAAATATAAACCTCAAAGACATACCCCCAGAGATTGACTTCCTCTAGCAACACTCTACCTGCCTATAGTTACCCCAGTTAACCCATATCAGTAGATTAATATTCTGTTTAGGTTAAAGCTCTCATAATCTAATCATTTCACCTCTAAATATTCTCATACATGGACTTTTGGGGAACACCTTATATCTAAACTTTTATAGACATCAAGCATGAACTTTGCCATCGATGAGGAAAATATTACTTTGTCCTCCCTACTTTGGGAAAGCTACCATTTATTCTCTATAACTGTTCATGTGATCTCTTTCCCATTTCATTGTCCACCAAGAAAGAAAAACTACCATTATGTACCAAAATGGGTTATTCAAAAGTATTGGACAAGGTAAAAGGAAGAATTAGCTGCATCCTAAATGTCAAAGATTTAATGATTTCTTCCTTGAGACTTTTTTTTTTTTTTTTTGACTCCAAGAAACTCGTAAGACAGTGCAGGACAGGCCTAAGCATGGCTTCTGCACACCAAACTCTCCTGATGCTGAGCTGCTACATATAGACACACCCACTCCTGATCCTTCTAGCAGTCTCGTGAAGCATCCTCATTGTATCCCTTCTTTCCTAGTAAGGAACCAAGACAGGATGGTTTGGTCTCCTGCTGGGAAGGATGGAATGGGAATTTGGACCCAGGCTGTCCTTCCTCCTTCCCACCCCTCGCCCATGTAGTATTTCTGCTCACAGCTTTGCAAACTGTCTTGTTCATGTTCAATTCACCAAAGTTCTCAGCACAATGCCATACATACAATTCTTCAGTAACTCAGTGAATATTTTTCAAATAAAGAGCAATGCTATTGTTTGGATTATCCGCTTTGAGAAGCACCTGCCCCAACACTGGAGCTGAGAAGATAGCAGAGGCTCACCACAGCCATCTTTACTTTTCATCATTGTTAAAATAGGAAACACTAACAGGAAGATTGTCCCAGGGAAGGTACACAGGAAAAAAGACTCAAGAGGTCGTCTTCCCCAGGAGCTGAAAACTTGCCAGGCTAGTACCACCCAGGACTTATTAGTGAGGCATCTTGTATCATCAAATATTTATATTGAAAGGAGTTAATGATGTAATTCAGAAGTTTTTTGAGATCTTTCTCTCCATAGATACGTGTGTGTGTTGTGTGTGTGTGTGTGTGTGTGTGTGTGTATGAAAGTCCAACTCTGTCACTCTGATTGCACTGGGCTCCTAACCATTTTCTTGAGGTATTGCAGTGCTAGAAAGATTCAGAAATATTTCTGGATTGACCTAGAGATGCCAGGCTTTTTTCATACTGTCTTTATGTCATGTGTTATGAATAAAGCAAAGTTTCTGCTCAGAGACAGGATTTAAAAAGCTTGTCCAACAAAACCAGAGTTGCCAAAAAACGAAAGGGAAGGTGTAGATTTGATACAAAATATTCTATTCTGCCCTAAAAACCCATCTTAGAACTATTTTGAAGTGTCATTTTTTTCTGAGCTTTCGTTTCAATATTACCGTGCTTTCATCCTATGCTGTGGAAGGATATTTTTATTCCACTACAGAATACAGAGCCCTCCTTTGCTCAGATGGAAGAAAGGATTCCATCATACTTTTCAGCTGAATATCCTAAGTGTGAGAAAAAATGAATTACCCACTTCTCTGAATTTTGGTGAGAATAGGGCTTGGATAATGCACAAATTTTCCAGAACTCTAATAGGTCTGGGAGGAGAGAAAAAAAAATCATTGGGTATAAATCAAAAGACACTTGATTTTTCTGCCTAACACCCCCTGCTCCCCCCTGCTCCCCTACCCTGCCCCAAATCTCAGTGACTTAAAATCTGTGCAAGTCAGAGATTCCAGGCACTTCTCCATGTGGGGACTCATGAGTTGCACTTCAATGTCAAATGCACTTCCACAGTTGCCACTTTAGAGAAAGAGAGGGGTGGGGGAGAGGAGCAGGAGAGAGATTAGAAAGACAGAACCGGATGGAGTACTAGCAATGAAGAAATGACACACATCACTTCTACTCTCTACAGTCATGCAGCCCTGCCTAACTTGAAGGAGATGTGAAGGTAAGACTTGCCCTGTATTCAAAAGAGAAGAACTGGATACTAGCAAATGCCTGTAATGTCTGCCACATGCTGCTATTCCCAGCCTGCTGGCAATTGTTTCCTTCTTCCCAGCTCACTCCTTCTATGTACTTTTCCTTTGGATTACCTGGCATATATCAAAGATCTAAAGGGTAGTGTGAAGGAAGGAAGGTGACATATTCTACAGTCCATTTTTGTTTACAGGACCTTTTTGAAAATGAGGAGTATCCAAAAAGGACCAGTTAACTCTG